CTGTGGACTTAAGTGGGCCAAAGATGCTAGGGGAGCTGTAAATCTGCATAACGCACGAATCCCACGCTGTTGCCTCATGCAGTGCAAACACTCCCAGGTTCATTCCCATCGCTTCCTCTTCAACGGCAGCAAAAGTAGAACTCCGCAAGCATCTGTCTCTGCTTGCTTCCTGCGTTCCCAGTTGTATTTTATCTTAATCTTCTGCAAGGGCTTGTGTGCACTAGATGTGCATGAGCTGGCTGAATTGAACTATATCTGCAACTTAAAAGAGAACATGGGCAGGAGGTGAAAAAGATGCTTCAAGAATTTGTAGATGGTATCAGTGGGATTGTGTTTGGGAAAGGAACTGATATTGCCCCTTGTGTCTGATGTTACAGAAACACTGCAAAAGGTTTAGGAGATAGGTACTACAAGCATCAGAAGATGGGTGCCACAAGCATCAGAAGAACCTACAGAGTATTCATTTAAGTATTTCTACTTGTCTCTTATTCAGTCCCAGTTCCCACTCTTCATGCCCCTTTTCCTACCCATGTATTACCACTGTTTCTGCCCCTTGCCTCTGGAGATATGTGCTGCTTTCTCCTAAATCTCTCCTAGGTTGGCAGCTGAAGCTTTGATCTCCCAATTCATTATAATATAAAATAAATTAGTCGCCCTGTATTTTGTGTATATGCTGTAGCTTTCAGGAAATAAATATGTGGTCATTTATTGGATGCTAAAGCCATCTCAATACAGATCAGGAGCTTAGGCTTCCTTTGCAGCCAGGGAAAAAAGCTGTAGGCTGTTAGTCTGGGTATTCAGCATCACTCTCTGGAGACAGTATCTTCCCTCTGTCAGCATTGGCTCCTAATTTAGACCCCAAAAGTTAAGACAAATATGATTAGCCCTTCCCCTTAATGTGTACCTGATGTTGATTTTTTTCACTTCATGGCAGTGCAGAAGGCAGTAGTTATAGTCAGCACTCAGTGAATTACTTGGTTCCTCTCATAATTCTTTCTCCCATCAAGAAAGAAACGATGCATTTCCCTGCTTTCTGCCATTTATAGAGAAGTGTCTGCCTGTTTGTTTTTTTTTTCGCCCTCAGTCTTATTTTTCACTCCTTTCTCAGAGTGAGACAGGCTTGCTGAGTGTGCCTCTGCTTCCCATTTGCCACGTGTGAGAGGCTGAGCAGAGGAACATTGTGTGCTGCCTCAGGACTTGGTGTGGCTGACTTGCAGAGCGTCACGGAGCAAGGAACTGCAACTGCTGGAGGAGACTCATCAATGCTTAAGCTCAAGGCACTGCATTCCTCATGACTTTTCTAAAGATCACTGGATATTTTATCTTTTTTACTTTCCCTTGTGGACCAATCATTGCATTGCCTGTGAGATCTTCTGAAGATAAATGTCCTGTAGATAAATGTCGCGTGTTAACTCAGCGGTTTGGTACGTAGAATTCAAGAGAATGGGAAACAAAAGTGCTTATAAAGAGAACTGGAAGCAGGCATGGTGATTAGAAACAGTATTTGCCAAAAGGGTAATACTGAGTGTAATCGTATGCTTTCTGGGATCTAATTCAGCTTCCTTTGAAGTCAGTGATAGTCTGCTGTTGTCTGATGTGGTAGCTGGAACAGCCTCCTTAAGACAAGCCTAACCTCTGTACTGCACAGTGTTTCTCCTTTTGGCTTCCAGTAGAGACAGACATATGGAAGAAACAAGGAAGTTTCCTTGTTCTTTCATGGTAAATGTGTTTTCTTTTTGCAGCAAATACAAATGAATGCAAAAGCAGGGTTTGCAGATGGTGAACATTCCTTGCCTTGGTCTCTGGGACCAGGAGAAGTGACAGTGTTGAGGCACCAAAAGAGGAGAAATACGGAGACTAAAGCAGCAAACTTCTGGAGTGAGCTCAACTATCTGGAAACCTTCCTCAGCCACTGCTGCCCTTCCCAAGAGCTTCCCTGTGTTGCAGGACCCACACCTGCCAGTGACCATCCATTCCCACTTCTTAGTCCCTGTGGAGGGGAGTCACAGTGCAGGTGGATGGGATAAATGCTGCTCTAAGGCAGTCTAGGGTATTCTCACTCATCTCTTTGAGCTTACTTGCAGTCTTGGGTTTCTTGTCACTTATCCTTCCTATTCTTGACTCTCAGTAACCAGTCTAGCTGGGCTGACTGGTGCTCTTTTTACATACCTGGTCTTTTGTGTCTATTCTACCAGAGAGAGCATGTATACTAAAAATGGTGGTCATCTAAGACTTGGGCAAATAAATTATCTTTTAGTTCTCTGGCTGAACCAAAAACTTGGTTCAAATACCAACTCAGAAAAAACAGGTTGTTTCGGATTGATCAGACTATTTTGTTATCAGAGATTTGGGGGAGGAGGGGTTATTCTTTAAAAAATAAAACAGTGAAGCACATTTAGGAATCATTTCAAAATGAAAAACTGAAATAATTTCATTTTTAATCAAAAAAAAGGAAAATAAAGAACTATTCTGCATAAAGTTGCATTTCATGAGCAGTAAAATCGGTCATCTGAAGAAGCTTGCACAGCTCTAGGCAAAGAGTTAAAATCCTCCCTTTAGTGTCTCCGCTGACCTCCACGTTACACTGAAGAGGAATTTGGCCTAAGTTTTCTTTTGGTAGAGAATCCGAGGCAGAAAAGCAGCCTCTGTGCATGGTTCCTTGCTCCTCCCTTTTCCCCAGTTCAAGACTTCTCTGGGCCTGTTTCTGTACTTAATATTTCAGATCAACAGTAGTAATGTTGAATTTAACTGGGTTCAAGCAATTCTGTTTTACATTGAATCTTGGAAAAGGGATTGACCTAATATTAAGTACTTTACATTGTAAAAAAGTTTCTCTTCACCTGATGGACTTGTTTCTGCTCAGGAGTTTGGATGCTGTACAGACTAATGTAATAACATTTGTTTTCACAAGGAAGTGTATGTTTAACTGCTGTCTAATGTGGTTGGATATTTTGAAATCTATTAATCCGTTCTGAAATGCTTGCTTGACCTATACTTGACTTGGACTTACAAGAAATTTTATTATGCTAGCTACACTCCAGTTAGCTGTAAGTAAAAAGCATTTTGCAACATTTACTCTTTATTGTTGTTATGATTATCATATCTGGAGCTCTAGAGCTTACAAGTAACAGAATTAGTGTGCAATTATCTATTTATTTTTCTTCCTGCAGAAGGAATCAATCAGTACTAGAGTCCTCCCAAGACTTTTGTAGCTTTAATGTTTTTTAAGAATATTTGTTGCTTTAGATTTATCCTGTTCATTGAATTCCTCAGGAGGCCTTTCCTCAAAGAACCTCCTGCACCTGAAGGTCTTCTTTCCATGCCATGTGTGGATTGACTATGATAGTACAGCCTCTAAAATTGGATTCCCTCTGGATGAGATAATAAGCTATGACTGCCAATTCAAACATTCTTCAAGAGCAGCAGTAATTCAGGCTTTCTAATTAAAACAGTGCTAAAACATTCACTTGTGCTTCTATTTGACTAGAAATCTTAGTAAGATGCACTGCTGAAGTAAGACCATATTTTTACTCAGTGCTTGTAACATGTGAGTGTGTGAACTTGATAAGCAAAAGCTTTTATCGCTATAATCGATGAATCGAGCGATCCCATGTTTCCAGGCTTAACAATAAGGCAGAAAGCACAAACTGTTTTCTTGTGTATGAAGAGGAAACGTAGTATTCTATCTAGAACAAAACTGGTGGTCGAATATACTAGGTTTTAATCCAGGCCTTACTCTCACTGGGAATATCTATGCCTCAATTGTCGTCTGTCATCAATTCTCAATTAATACAATGTGTAATCAACTGGATTTCTTCTAAAATTTATATTTAATAGCTTGAATTGTCATATATATTTTGCTAAAACCACAGGTTTTAGAGTCATTGTTAGATATCAAAACACAGGCAAAGTGATGCAAAAACTTTGAACTTCCTGCATGTTTCAAGTTTCTGCATGTTGCAGTTTTGAACTTGAGTAGGTCAGTTTTTTGGGATGGTTCTCTATATAAGATGGATGCAAAACTGGAATGAACGTGTGTTTACAAAACCTGAAGTTCTAAGCCAGTTGCTGCTGCTGAACTGTCTGAAGAAACGGATACAAAATTTTCCATTTACTGATGTTCATTCATCTTCATGCTTCTTAGTTTAGTGAGAGGTTTAGTGTATTTAGAAGTTCTGAGTTGTTTCTCTGCTCCTTAGGTAGAAATGGCTGCTGAAGGATATTAGATCTCATACATTAAATCTGGATTACAAAATTTGGTTCTAGTTTTCAGATACTAAAAGTTCCAGGATGGCAATCTGATTTTAGATATATTTTTTTCGTTCAACTCTTAGTTCGGGATTAACTGCTCAAGTGTCCATATATTACTGGCTGGATGAATACCCTTCTGGGAGATACTGGTTTTAGACAAATTGAAATGAATAGCTGCTTAATTAGAAAGTATGATGTACTTTTAAAGAACACTTTGAGGACACGGTATGATTGGTGCAAAAATTCTTGCCTCTTCCTTTACGTTTTCCAGTATACTCTCTTGGCATTGCTGAGCTGAAGTGTTTATTCTATCTTTTCCTCTGTGAGGGGAAGAGAAAAATGAAGGTAGCGTCAAATGAAAGTTGTCTTATCTTGTATAAGGGTGGTATGTTAAGAGCAGTTATTTACTGCTGTGTGTTTCACCTTGTGAGTGTCTGCTATAGATTTATAAAATCTACTGATATGCTTTAAAGTAGCTATATGTCTTTGTTTTTATATATCAATAAATTATGCACAGCTGTGGATGCTCAGAAGCACATCTTATGAAATCTTTGCATTTTATTAAAAAAAAGAAAAGAAACTTGTTGACCTCATAGCCAAATCCTAGTCCAAATGCTTCCAGCTGCAGCAAGAGGGATGAGTCATGCTGAAAGCTGAGGAGCTTTTATAAAAGCCTTTCACTTCGTTCACATGATTTTTTTTTAATTTTACATTCCTGTCTGTTTTTCTTTAAAAAAAAAAATGTGAAGGCGAGTCACCCAAGGAAAACCCGTATGAGGATGTGGAGCTGAAAGGCCGTCACGCGGGCCGAAAATCCCATCAGCTCTCGGAGAATTCCCTAGATTCCTTGCACAGGATGTGGACTCCGCAGGACAGGAAATACACAGCACCTCCCCAGGTAACGCACTGCTTCTCAGGGCAGGACAGCTCCTTTCTTTCTGTGGGAGAGGCTTATTTCAAACTGTTGCAAGAGAATCAATCATGACATAGCAGAAAGAGCAGCTGTACAGAATGAGAAGGGAAACAGAAAAAGAGTGTGATCAAATACATAAATTGTTGCTGTGAATGCTGTTGGCAGCTCTAAGTCAGAGTCTCAGCACTAAATTGCAGAAGCTGTTTGCTGTTTGGAATAGCCCTGAGGAGTGCTGGTTAAAGCCTGAGGTGTTTAGTCAGAATCCTTCCACCAGTTGTTCAGGGAGCTGAATCTGGCCCTAAATGTTTCATTTTATTGAGCCTCTTTGTGAATTGCCTCTGAATGTGCAGCAGGGCTTTTAGTAGGGACAGGAAGGAAAGAACTCATTTTCTTAATCTTGCTGATGTATTGTTATGTGAGGCCTATTGTAACTTGGTAGTGTGGCATGTTTTCTTGTAAGATGGAGTAGGCCAAGCATGCCCCCCCCAATAAATAGCTCTGTTCACGGCATAAAGCAAAGATCAGGAACTCGGCAGACTTTTCATTTTGTGGTGAATTTCCAAAGCAGTCTGGTTTTGTGTGGAAGCTGTGAAATGTCGTGTTTCTTGGTTGTTTCTGGGATCATTGTATTCATAAGGAAATTTATCAGGTATATCATTTTGAGATTCAAAACTTCATTTAAAGGAACTTCATTTTACACGGAATCAACAAAAAAAAATTATGAGGTTGAATAAAAGGTCACAGAAATTTACATTGTGGCCTTATAAAGTGACCTAGTAAGTATTTTTTATTTACTTATCGTGTGTGGGTGCATCTGTGCACCACAATCCGAGAGTCAAAAGTAGGATCAGGATTCTTAGTATACATGTGGCATATCATTTACAAAACAGGAATATTTTCAGCAAAGTTACTGAAGGGGGCACAACAGGTGGAAAGTGAGTAATCAGGCAGAATGAGGAGAAACAGAAACTGCGGCAATTAAGGTAACTTCATAGTGAGAGATGCATTATACATAACAACTATTTTTGACTGTACTGTGTGTGTGTATATGTGTTAACAGGAATTGTGATAGCTTCTAGAGGATCCAACAGATTGTCCGATTAGGGCAGGAACCGTATAGATCCGTGGTATGATACAGTTCACGACCCAGAGAGAATCTTAGTAGATAAAGCAAAAGCGTAGGGTAGGGGGTATCTCCCTTTTACACAGGAGGACCAAAAGATATATAGATTTAAGTGACTTCTCTGGAGTTATCCAGTAAAGACATAATCTCTGGTATCTTAGCAACAAGGCTATCTTTATTGCAGTAGCTTCTTTTTGAAACGTGGCCAGGAGTTTCCATCGGTTCTGCCATAACTGCACTGTCATTTTGTTGATATATAAAGCAAAGAGACACTAGCAGCAAGTCAGCTATGGGCCTGGGTAATTCTCCGATGACCAGAAATAGAAAAGTCTCCATTTCCTGAAGAACGGCAGCTTTGGCAGCCATTTATCACCCAGTTTTTCCAACATTAGCAACATAGCCGGATTAGCAACATAACTTTTCAGTCATGGATCATGATAAACTAGATGGAAGAGATCGGTAGGTCAGCAGACTTTTGACAGTCATCTCCAAAAAGAATTCCTTTCACTAAAATATAGACTGCTGCAAGTTTTCCTGGCGTGCAGACCTGTGGTAAGCAGAGACCTCAGAAACATTGGCTTGTGGTCGTTTTGAATCCCATTGTGTCTTCTCCTTTCCCCTTTGTTGGTTGCAATTTTGAAGTTGTCCGTTATAAAAAGAGTGTTTTATTGATGACGATGTATTTGTGATGGAAAACCCACACATACAGAGACACCTAGGTTTAATCTCAGGTGGTATGGCTGCAACTGGGGGAAAAAATACATACATACATATATATGTGTGTGTGTGTGTATGTATGTGGATTATATATATGTAAAAACGTATGTATGCCCTTTAATAGATTAACCTTGCAAGTAGAAAAAGTGGGGCATTTACTGCTGCAGGTTTATGGCTAGTAGTACTACAAAGAGAATATTGGCAAATGCCAATTAACAGTTGCTTGACTGAATAGTACTTTTCGCTAGACATCCTGGTTAAGCTTCTTACAATATTTGAGGTAGATACAGGAAGGACAATTAGGTGTACAGGCAAACAGGGAGAGCGAGGTGGAGGAAATGGCTTGCTCTCTTTCACTTACATCACAGCAAAGCAAGCAAAGCAAGCAAAGCTTAAGGAGGATCTTAGATATTGACACTTATCTTTTCATTTTGACCTTGAACCCTCTCTTCATGCATACTCCATAGAGCAGTGGCTTTGCC